GGCTTCTGTCTCAGACTGTGTTTTGACAAAGTTTCCCTAGAGGTGAAATCTGAGTGCGGACCTAAATTAAGTGACAGAGTGAATCAGGCAGATATCTAGGGCAGTGATTACTAACCAGAGGTGACTTTGTCTCTCGAGGGACATTTGGCATCTGGAATGTTTTAATTGTCACAACCAAGGATGGGGTTCTCACTGACATTTGCTGTACAGGGTAGAGCCAGGAATGGTGTTAAACATCTTTTCGTGTGTGTGTGTGTGTGTGTGTGTGTGTGTGTGTGTGTGTGTGTCTGTGTGCATGTGTCTGTGTGTGTGCATGTGCGCATGTGTGTCTGTGTGCGCACATGTGCATGTGTGTGTGCATGTTGCATGTGGAACACTGTTGAGGTCAGAGGATAGCCTCAGGCTGCTGTCTTCATCTTCTACCTTGTGTGAGGCAGTCTCCTTGTTGTTTTTCCACTGTGTATGCCAGACTGAGTGACTCACAGGCTTCCAGGGATGCTGATTTTCATCTCCTGTTTTCCTGTAGGAATGATGGACAGTTGGACTGTATGTATGCTTGGCTTTTACATGGGTGCCAGAGATTCTAACCCAGGTCCTCACACTTGCATGGCAAGTGTTCTTACCAGTAGAGCCATCTCTCCACCCCCTTAAACGTCTTCAAATGCACAAGACAGGCCTCTGTGACAAAGTTTCATCCAGCCTAGAATGCTAGGGACTGGGAAAGAACCTTTCAGGCGAAGAAGACAGGAAATACAGGACCATGCCCTGAGACAGGACTTTGCTTGGATATTCAGGAAGACCTAGAAGGCTTATTTGACTGAAGCCTAGTAACAAAGCGAGATACAGCAGAGAACAGATTTGAAAGACAACTCAGGACCAAGTTCTATGGTAACATTCAAGACCTCCGTCACTTCTTTCTCTTCTCGTTTGGAATCCTGTCACACACCTCTACTAGGAGACCAAGCTGGTTTTGCTAGTGGTTGTCCTAGGCAGCTGACTCCAGGGTTTATGAGAAACAGGGATTTCACCTACATAAAGAGTGATCCGTCTTGCCCATTGGTGGTGGATCTTGGAGTTGGCTCTCTGGTGCTTTAAGAAAATCATTCCACTGAAATAGTGGGATAACATTCACCACTGAGGTTGTTACTCCACGTGTGACTCTTTGGATTTAAGTTATCAGAGTCAAATAAAATCCAAAACTCATTCCTACCAGTCTGCGGAGCCCCAGTCTTAAGCCTTGATCCTGCCCATGCCCTCAGTCTCCTGGGTCATTTCCCGTGCATCCACTTGCTTTTTGTCTGACCTCCCCTCCGGCTTTTCACACTAAGACTTCCTTGGTGTGGCTTCTGGGAAGGGTGGACATGCCAGGATTGTTCAGAGCACCAAACAGCTTGCTGTACTTTCTCCTGGCCTCTGTAGATGGAGTATGGGTGACAGCTGGGCTGTGCTCGCTTAGCTAACACATCGCCCTCAGTTCTTAACCAGAGTGTTCAAAACGTAACAGTAAGGGGAAAGTGGTCCACAGGGAACGCTGAAGTCCCTCTGATGGGCACTCGGGTTCAGAGCTTCTGATGCTGGGTGTCCTCTGCGTTACATTTCATCACTGTGTTATTTTTCCACCTGCCCACATCACAGCCTCCTGCTTTCCTGCCTACGCAACAAATCTCGTTCTGATCTCCGGGTATTACTCACTTTCCCTGTTTTCTAACTTTGTTTAATGAACAACGAATCCTCAGAACTGTAGATACATATTTCACATTTCTGCTTTCAGGCATCATCCTTGGGCTGTGCAGACAGTGGCTCTGATTTGAAGAGACAGCAAAGCTAAGTCAGAAATCAGCTTCTTAGGCAGTATGACTTGCCTGCTCTCAGGTTCCACTCTTGGTAATGCCTGGCCTTTAGATGCTTTTTGATGATGACTTTCATCCCTAGAACATCTTAAATGTCACTGAAGATCCCAAAGAGCTTTCGTTTATAGGATTTTCTCTTTCTGCATTTGCTCCAAATTAAAACTCAGGACATTTGGAGTTTAATACAGAGCATCAGCCATCAAGAATAATGACCACAGATTACATAGCCTCTTGAAAACCCTGTGTGTTCCTGAAGACATAAGACAAAACAAAAAAAATGTAGTTGTCCCTTGGTATCTAAGATAGGTTTGATGCCAGCAGTCTCAAGAAAACATAAGTCTTGAAGTGTGCAGGTCTCTCACATAACATGGTTGTTTGCATATAACATGCACAGTTCCCCCATATATGTAAAGTCATCTCTGCCATACTTATAATACCCAACACAATGTAAATTATATATTTGCTATATTGTATTAAGAAATGAAAATAAAATATCTGCACATTTGATAGATATATTTTTTCACTAAGTAGTTTCTCTTCTATTTGGTTGCAGCTACAAAAGGCCAAATATAGCATCTTGGTCTTAAAAACCTACTTTTGGTCTTCAGTGGAAAAAAATCCCCAGGTCTCACTTTGGGAAATTCTAAGAAGAGATGGGGGTTTTTTAATGCCACTAAGTTAATCTTCCCTTGGCCTGAAGTGGTTAAGAGATGACCAGAGAAGAGAGTGGAAAGGACGATCCTAAAGAGCTTTTGTTTTTAGGATTTATTTTCAGTTATTTTTAACTAGGAATGGATGAAGGCCTTTCTTGGTACCTATTCCATCACACACTCTTCCAGTCAAACGCTGTTCTCAATCCATCTGCAGCAGTCCATCTCCTCTGACCTCCTTCAGGGTGGAATCAGCTCTCCCCTGCGTTCTTGCTACAACCTCATAGCCAATGGCCTCCCTGTAGTCCACAGCCCCCAATCTCAACTCCAGCTGTGCCATAGCCAGAGCAACCTTTCTAAGGCCTCAGATTGATCATGTTTGACCTTGGCCTTTCCCACTGCCCTTTGGATAAAGTTAACCTTCCCCACATGGCTCACAAAGTTCACGTATGGCCAAGCTCTGTTGACACCTACATTGTTGTTTCCTTCTCTCCACTGCCTAGAGCCTCTACCTCAAGTTCATCTCCTACCCATTTCAATTAGCTAAAGTTTTATTGGAACATAGGACCTCTTTCTCCTAACGTGCCTTTCCCAAAGGTCCTTTCTCCCAAAGGACCTCAAATGTGCCTTTCCCACGGTTTGGAAGCTTCCAACTGTACCTGACCAAAGCCTACAGGCTCATCACATTTAGTGAAATGTCACTTTCTCTAGGAAGACTCCACTGCTGCCCCTGCTTCCACAGCACCAATTTTTTTCCTCCTATTATTTGCCGATAGCTCATTAAGGGATGAAAATAAAGCAGCTTCCCCCTTGGATTAGTTTGAACAACAGAGAGCCCAACTTAGAATTCTCTACTTCTCCCCCTGTCTCCTGTCTGACCGTAACAAAGGGCTTTGCTCTACAGTTGTTGAACAGCACAGAAACCATGGCATCCTCCCCACCCACCTGAACACCCAACTTCATGTTCTTTCTATCTCTCTCAAATTAACAAACAAACAAAAAACAGAAACAATAACAACAAAAAAACCCCTACCAAACCAAGAAAAAAAACCCAAAACCAAAACAAATAAAAAACCATGGAGGCATTTTGTGCTGGCTATCTTGGGTATGAAGCCTGCTCTTTACTGTGTAAATCACTCCTTGGGAGAAAACTGACTTTTCCTCTCCCAGCCGTTATCAATTGCAAATAGCTTCTTGGTTAGGAGTGGTTCTCTGTGCCCTCCCCTTCAGAATGAGGGAACTCTTTGTAGAAACTTTTGACAGAGTTTTGCAAGGAAAACTGAGTGTTCCCAGCTGACCCAGCACTCAAAACTGCAAGCAGGTGCTACCAGCCTATATCCACATGTTGCGTCCAACATTTATGGTGAATATTTGCTGTCTCAAGGTTGCTTTCAGTGGGCTGGCTGTTTTCAGCAAATGATTACAACACGCATTATTCTGAGCCAGGCCTTGAAAACTATATGATTAAGGCTGTGCATTTAGCTTGGGTTATAAAAGCTGGTTGAGTGGGAAATCCAAGCCCTAGTAAAGCTGGTCACGTTGTTCTCTTATAGGCCGACTAAAGTTAAATAGGCTGAGTATGCAGGAGGGCAGCAGGTTACGCACATTAAGTGACCTCAAAGCATTTTATTAACTTGGCTGCAAAATCCAGCAGAAGTTCAGTATTTTGGGATTCAAGAGATAGGTTCACGAAAATATATCACCATAGTCGCCTTCATGAGGCCTGGCCTTATCATCATGGTAGCACCTGTACCCTCCAGGGTACTTCAAAATAACACACAGGAGGGAATATGGTTGACATCATGTATGTCCTCTGCCTGAGTACTTGGTAACAAATTTGTTGGAGGAAAGTAATGAATGGATCAGTCCACTTTTAAATCTCCTTTATGCTCCAGGTAAATTATTCCACTTAATACTCTTTTAAAATACGCATCACTGCCCACATTTGAAGGAGTGTAAGCTCTTTGCCTCCATTGCCTAAACACCCCAACAGCTAGGAAATGTCGGGTCACTCTCCTGTTAGTGTAGGCTAAGACGGGGCGTCACCAAAGTGAGGGGGAACTGCAAGAAATGAGCACGTGAGGTAAATTTTCCAAGTGAGCATACGGGTTAGGAGTTGTCCCGAAAGCAGCTGGGGACTCTTTCAACCTGAGTGATACTGCTGAGATGGCCCCAGCCAGAGCTTAAAATAAAGCCGCTGAAAAGAATGGTTCAGAAACGGATCTGCTCCATCATAAAAGACTTTCTCAGCCAGCAGTCTCAAAAATGTCTATGCCTGTGTCTTCGTGGCCTTGGTGAAAGAAAAAGAAGGACTAGTAGATACACATGCGCAGATCTCTCTGTCTCTGTGTGTCTGTCTGACTGTCTCACCCTCTCTCTCTCACCCTCTCTCTCACACCCTCTCTCTCTCTCTTTCTCTCTCTCTCTGTCTCTATCTCTCTATCTCTGTCTTCTCATAAGGACTTTAAGGTATTGAAAGTCACACTGACTTACTTCTCACTTAGGTCTTGTCTTGGTCTTGTTCAACAGTTCCTTGGTTTCTTGTTTCCAAATGGCTTGCTGGCTCATGTTTATTTTTTTTCCATAAACATTTCAATGAAGTTCTGAAACCAGAAAAAAATTTAAAATATAGTAGCTTTATTACCTTTATTTTTAAAAGGTTTATTTATTCTTATTTTGTACACACACACACACACACACACACACACGACTTGCAGTAACTGAAGGCCGGAAGATAACTTGGATTTTCTGATTCTTGTTAGCTGCTGTATGGGCGCTAGAAACTGAACCCGGAATCCACTGCAAGTGTTCTTAACCACCAAGCTGTTTCTTTAGACGCACTTTTATTTTTTAAGGCAAGTTAGTAATAGAAAATACAAATTAGTAAAAAAGAAAAAAAGTGTAAATCATTTCTTTTATATTCCACCATTATTTGGGCATACGTTCTTGTCTCTCTGTCTTGGGTTTTGTCTCTATGTGATCCGAATCTCTATGTAAGTGCAGCCTCTTTCTTACCATTGCTGATGTCTTTCTGTGCCTCAGTCCCCTCGCTCAGGATTCGATGCTGTGAGCCACTAGAGAACTTACTGCGAAAGGGAGCGCCGCATGGCCCTTCAGTCATCCTCCCTGGAAACTGCATTTTAACATGCTCCAGGTAAAAGCAAGGGGTGGCCCAAGGACCATATTTCAACAGTGGAGGCCGACATGTTTTATGAACACTGCACAGAATGTCAGTGTCAACACAGTTAAATTGACAAACATCCAAGTGATATATGGCTTCCCGGTAAAGACAAAAGACTTCCTTGCAAATAAGAACACACACCCTCAGCATTCTCCTCAAGCACAAACACTGTAAGCTGAATGCTATACATGTTTAAAGGAAATAATTCATTTTTAAAGAGGCTAGAGGAGTATCTGATTCCACTGAGAAGGCCATAAGACTGTCAAAGTGGCCTTTGCACTTTCTAATGATTTTGCATCTTCCCCAATCTGCCTTGACCCAAGGCCAGAATGTCTTTAAATGTTTTGTTAAATGTCATCATGGTGTTATTTGGAATACTTTTCCCTCTGTCTTTTCTCCAGGTTATCTAATTCTGTCCATCTACCTTCTTCATGAAGTTCTAATCTCACTTCCATACCCACCAAGTCCTTCCTAACGACTCAGGCTGCAGCCCTCACCACTATTCTCTGAGTCAATTATCTCAAAGCACACTTACCTACTTTCTCTTGATGCATTTGGACCGTCACCCGGTGCTTCTCACCTCTTGACCTGATTATAAGAGATTGATGGGGATCTTTAGTGTTTGACTCAGGCCCCCTGCCCCTGGCACGTCCCTCCCTCCCGGCAAGGGACTGGGTGCAGGGAACGAGCTTGTAGTTTGAGTCCCCATTATAAGGTTCACGGCCCTTACAATCACAGAGCAACTCATGTAAGCACCAGCAGCCCTGGTCCGATCATCTATAAAGTAGGAACAATATCTTCAAGGCTTATGTTACCTGTCAATTAGTTTTCATGCAAGTTGTGATTACAGTTAATTTTAACACGTCCCTTCACCTAAACGCTTTGCCAGAACATCTCATACTATAGCTTGTCTCCAGATTCTGACTAATACATGCGAGTCTCCTCCCTCTCCATAGACACCAGTCGATAAAGAGATGCTCTAGACTTTCTTCATTTGTTTACATTCTAAAAATTAATATCTATATCAAAATAGAACATTGAAATGTGTATGTTTCACAATATCATGCTTTTCATATAGTATTTTAATCATTGACAGTTTCATGCAATGTATTCTAATTATATTCATTCCCCACTTCTTTCCCTAATTCCTCCTAGATCCACACTCACACAATATGAGGTTAAATATATGTATATTTTGTGGAATTACTAAATCGGTGAATTTATTTGCTTCCTACAGATGTCAAGAAGTTATAGTAGTGATATAAAGTTTACTTTTTGAAAGGTTTATTTTATTTTGTATGTGTGTTTGTGTGTGTGTGTTTGTGGGTACGCGCACATGCACACACACATACCTGCACAGGTGCCAGTGGATACCAGAAGAGTCATAAAAATCCTTTGGGTCTGGAGTTACAAAGGTTTGCAAGCCTCTTGATATGGGTGGATGGGTGGCGTCAAAACTCTGGTTCTGGTAGAGCTACAGTGAATGCTGTAAACCATGGGGCCATCTTCCCAGTCCCAAAGTTTACATTTTAAATAAGCTTATTTAGGCAAAAGTATTCATCTTACAGCGAAAGTCTTTTTAAAATATCAAGCATTTACATTATAAAAGTATAGGAACCCCATCATACTAAAAATGACTGACGTTTTACCTATAGGTAAAGCAACTTGTGGGTATCAGTTGTTATCTTAGTTATGATGATATAAACTACACGCTGATCAGTTCTGATGTTTCCTGCCTAGCAAGCCTGAGACATAATAGAGTCTAACTAAAATGTACCTGTATGGAAAATAGATCAAAAAGATGAATAACCAGGGTAGATAGCTCAATGCACACTGGTTCCAATGGGAAGAAAATGAATGGATTATTTGGCAGTAAGTTAGTTTTTCTAATTATCTAGAACAGCTAAGTTTTAAAGAACACCAAACCTTTACTAGGAAAAGTTTGATTCAAATCTTTATTCATTAGGAAAACAAGCTTACTAGGATATGAGTCACCATGATTACTGCCATAATATTAGAATTCAAAGCAAATTCATATAGAGTTTTTATTTTAACCTTACAAAATCTCTTAAAGAAGGAGGAGTTTTATGAAGAAATAAGGTAAAATGTTGGGAAGAAGAATGAGTTTAATGGAAGTAAGGGTGGGATAAGAAAAGGTAAGAGAGACGAAGAGGATCAAAATACATTATATGTGTAAGAAACTATCAAATAATAAATAAAAGGAAAAAAGAAATGATGTAAAAGGAGATTATAAAATTAGTCTACTGCCATATGGGTATTTATAGGTAGAATAAGAAATAAAATATGTTTACTCTATTAACTAGATAATTTGCCATTGATTTAGGTCCAGCATGGGTTTCTGGAACATTTTTCTTTCCTTGCTTATCTGAGGCTATTAGATGACTTGACTCAGGGGTTCCAGATTTGGGTTGTACAAAAGTGGGATCAAATTACATAAATTACATTAATTGAGGAGAATGAATTGAATTAAGTGGAATTGGAATGGTGTCTGGTGTTGTTTGTCTGAAGAGTGTAGAAAGGATGAGACTTCACTGCAAAGGATGAAGAGCAGGCATCTGGTCAAGTGGACCACAGTGTGGACAGCTCATCTTTGGGAGACTTGGAGGTTTCCCATCCTTTCTTCTTGTGATCAGAACCAGAGCAAGAGAATGTGAGAGTAGAAATGTCAGCCTCAGAGCTGAAGCAGCTCAGTTCTAAACCCTGCTTCTCCCATTGTCTGTGGGATCTTGGGCAAGTTATATAAACTCCTCTGGTTTCTAGCTCAACTACAAATTGAGAATAGTAGTGTTTGCTTCAGACGGTGGTGATGGGAGTCAATGTGTACTCCCATCCAGTACATTTGCATGAGAGCCATCTACAAGCTAGAAGGTGCACACTATGAGATGATGGAGATTTCGGGAAGGAAAATGGGAGCTAGTGTTGTAGAGATGTCAGGATACTCCGGGACTTACAGCCCGCCCTGGAGGTGGGAATTTTTCTCGTTCTTTGAATGATGACAGTGCCTTCTGGATCTTTTGTTTATATCATTAGCCAGTGTTTCCCAGCATGTCTCAGCATTCTGCCTTAAAGGAGGCACTCTACACATCTAACTACCATTTCTACTCTGCTGACCTAATGTTTCAACCACTAATGTGGAACTTGGTATTATCTTGTCCAAGTCAAATTGCTATCTGGCTTCCCACTGCTTTCTTCTACCATCATGGGCCAGGCCACCTTTCTTGAGTCATCTCTCTAGCTACCATGGACTTTCTCCCCATGATGCTCTTCCTCAGGACTCCCAGAAGCAGACCCCGAGACAAAGCTTCCAGTATCAGTGGCTTACTCAAGAGATCTAGAAAACACTGACAGGAAAGTGGAGAAACCAGGAAGGGTGAGGAAGCAGGCCACTGAGGTGCACTGTAGAGCCATTGCCACTGCAGGTGATGAGACCTTATTCCCTGGGAGAAAAATTCTAGGAAATGGCATACATTCCCCAGATAAAGGTGATGGTCCCTGTCCATGTTCTAATCCCACAACGCAGGAATATGTTGCCTTATATGATGAACTTCATATATGTGATTAAGATTCTTGGGAAGGAAAGATTATCTTGAATTATCCAAGTAGACCCAAAGAAATCTGAAGGACCTTTTAAGAAAGAGACATCAGGGCAGAGTTGCAGAGAACGTTGAAGATCTTACCCTGCTACTTTTGAAGATGAAGGCAGGGCCCAAGAAAGAGCCAAAAAGCAGGGATGGTGATGTATACCCCCAAATTTGAACGGTGGAGACAGGTAGATCCATAGTTCCATAGCAGCTTTGACTATAGAGAGAGTTCAAGGCCACCCTGGGCTACAGGATATCTTGTCTCAAAAACAAACAAACAAAAAAAATCAAATCCAAGGGATGCAAACAGCATCCAGATGCCACCAGGAAGACAGAGGAATAAATTATTCATACTTCAAATGTATGATCTCCAAAGCTCTTGGATAATACAGTTACGTTTCTTTCACCACTGAGGAGTTTTGGTCCTATTTTTAGTGCAACAGTAGGAAATATTGCCAGAGCTCTTTGCTTCAAAAGCAAGCATTTGGGTATTGACTCATGTCAGTCATTTGCCAAGGGCCGCTGGGTGTGCAGAGTTAAGTCCTTACCACTTCACTGGCAAAATACAAGTCAGAACACACCGGGGAACTCGGGAAGTGGACCAGGCGCCAGCTGAGTGTGCTGCTGTAATGTGCCCTTCATCGGCCTCTTCTTCTCAAATCTGTCTTCCCAATAGATGTCTTGTAGACCACACATCCCAGTCAGTTCACCAGCAGCTGTCAAGCTTACCTTATCACTGCAGGGAGATCCTTCAATAGGCTGCTCCTCCCTTTCTCAGAACTCTCCCGTGCCCCTGTGAGAGAGACCCTTACAGAAGGAAGCCTCAGTGTCAGCTGAGGAAGGTTGGGCCCAGGCTCCCTGACAGTTCAGTCTTACTCCCTAAGTTTCTATGTTTGGTTGTGCAAAGGGGGAAGTTAGCATGCTTGGCTGGCTGTTTGTGTGCGAAGTTCCGAGTTTAGTGTACAAAACTCGAGAAGCCTGAACTGTCGATCTCTTCGGTCTGCATTCTGAGAACAGCAGCAGCAGCACCGTGGGCAAGTGAGAAAATCAGTGTGAAAAAAGGAGAAGGTTAATTAAAGAAACATTGAAGACATGTGGCTGTCAATCGGCACTAAAGATCCCAAACCTGACTGTGGCACAAATATGCTCGGAGAAGCCTGGCCTTTTGGGAAGGCTTACAGTTGAAGGATCCACACACCACAGCAAGCACACAGACCCTTCATCCTCAGCCCACCCTAATGGTCATTGTTTCTAGTGTCAGAACCTTTGTGGTCAAGGCTTCAGACTCAAATGACCCCTTGAAAGTTGGCTGTGCCCTTAACATTGATTTTCTCAAACTGTGACCACTCTACTTGCTGTTTGTCTAGACCATAAAAGGGTAGAGAGATTAAAAAGTGAGTCTGTGCCTTCTTAAAAATCGGAATAAATATGCTTCAAGATTACCACAGGTGGTGCTGAAACTGCAACACTTTTTTCTCCTTGTTTCGGAGTAAGGTGGGGCCGTGAGAGACAGAGCCTGGGAAAGGAAGGACACTGGTGTTTCCTGACACTGCATGGGTGTCAGTTAAGCAGAAACACAGAACATGAGCCCCGACAAAAAGAGTTACTGTCACCCCAATGGTTATAAGTGGAGCTTCCCAGGTAATGTAGCTTGTCTGACTGCATAAAACGAAGAAGTGAGCGATCTAGTGTTTGATCGTTTTTCTTCGGCTATTTTCATTTCATCTGTGAGGAGCTATCAGTGACCACATTTGGAAGACGGAGTTACATGGGCTCAGCCAATAAACAGCAAGTCCTGGCTCTGGGCTCAGGTCTCATGACCTTTCTTGTCCATTGTGTTCAAAACAGAAGGGCTGAGTCACTTAGTGGCCTGAATCCAGTGGATGGACATTGGATAGACAGCAATTCATTCCAGAGCATCATCCTGGTCAGAAAGAGTTCATTAGCATAATTATAAGATTAAAGGAGTCTCTGTGTAGAAAATGTAGAGGCTGAGATGGAGAGGTGACTCAGTCAGCAAGCCAGAGGATCCACATTCAGATCACAGAGCCCATGTAAAAAACCAGAACTGTGGCTCCGGTCTGTAATACCAGGACAGTGAGCTAGAAATAGCAGATCCCTGGAAGCTTGCCAACTAGTAGCTGGCCTACTTGGCAAAGTTCCAAGCTAAGGGCAGACCCTATCTCAAACAAACAACCAAAAAACTGAAAAGCGCATGAAGATTGACACCAGAAGTTGTCCTCTGACCACACACACACACACACACACACACACACACACACACACGCACACACACGCACACACACGCATGCACACGTGCTCACACACACGGAGATTGGTAATGCTAGAAACTGAAACAGTGAAGATTAAGTAGACAGAGTTTATCTACAGATAACCACAGGCTGTCACTTACGACATCTACCTTCTGGTGCTTGTCACACACGCTCATGCGCACATAGCATTTTTAGAAAAGTAGGCATTGTGCTACGTATATGGTGGTTTTATAATATTAGCTGGAGTGAGGGTTCTCTTGCAGGTGTGTTTTAGCAGACTGCCTTGTGTACCATGATACTTTGTGAACGAAGCCTTAGTTCATGGCCATGTTTGCTCGCTGTGACCACAGTTTATCCCCATTAAAGCCACTGTTATGGGATACTGTTGTTTACATCTAAACATGAAGCTTAGATCGCCAACAGCATCTAACAGGCCAGTGTCTCGTTTTGAATGTTGTTGCTTCAAAAGCTTTGTAAGATTGATAGGTGAATCCACATTCTCTTTCAGATGCACGTTTTCCAGACTCACAACTTAGCTGAATTTGTTTCTCCTTATGCACTTTACCAGGTGTTATGGTCTCCACACAGTGCCAGTCTTGTTGGTGTAATGCCGCAGGCCTCCGAGACATCACAGTTGGTAGGTACTAAGATATCAAGCACTACATTAATCCCCAGTGCTCACCAGCCCAGCCACCACCAATGCCAGAGCACAAATACCTCCCGGCACAAACCGGGTCTGAGTCTCCATTCTTGTGCCCTTCTTGGCTCTAAGCCAGATACCTGGCAGGTACCCAACATAGTTCTTGACGAGAGTATGGTAATTGGCATGGTCCTCATCAGGTCTTCTAAACTTCTCTGTGACTTCAACAAGTCCGGCCTCCTCTCTGACCTCAGGATCTTCCCTGAGATGTGAAGAGAACCTTGATGCCCGTGAAATGGGACAAGCTCCATGCACACCCACCTTGTGTGTGCCCATCACCTGGGCAGCAATGTTTTCCTTCCTGTAGACGCCCAGGTCTCGTGGATCTATCATCCATGCTCTCCTCTTGGGCTTTTGTGCTATGGGTACAGCACGTTTCATCTTCTGCTCTGCAGTCTCACTGGCCCTAGCCGTCCAGGAACTGGGTGGGAGGGGAGTAGGAGTTGGAGACGTCACCAGCAGGGAGGAGGTGGGGGCTAAAGGCATCACCAGCGATGACGGGATACATCCAAGCATAACCGAAGCAGCCTTCACAGAACTCATCCAGAGATCTCAGTTTCCATTTAATTTTTGTAAACATCTATGTTAGCGTTTTTGCCCTTGTAAGCACTTAGGAGAAAAAGCTTCAGTTATTTAAACAGGATGCATTTCGGTAACTGGAGTGGAAAATGCAATAGGCATTTTAATTAAAAAAAAAACATTTTTGGTCAATTTTGTTTTGTTTTATTACTGGTCACGTTCTTAATATTTATTTATAGGTTTCAGAAGTATAACGCTTAACTCTGAGAGGATGCATGCCGTAGAGGTACACATGCTAGGAATCAACTTTTTCCTGATGAAATTTGCAACCCTATTTTTAAAAAAAAAAATGTGAAATTATTTCTATTCCCAGAGCTAATTTCTTTGAATGAGGACTTGGAACCTCTGGAGAACAGGAACTCACGGCTGTGTCAATTTGGGACCCTTTTGACTGAAATAACGAGAAAGTGTGTGTATTTCAACTAGTAACATGCGTTTTTAAAGATTTCCCTACTTGGTATAAATAGTACAGCATTCACAACCAAATGAATAAAATGATAATTTTAGGTAAACTGATATAACAAGATTTAAAGGTTTACTTACCCAGCTCTCAACTTTGCTGTTATCACTTCAATCCTAAGTACAAATTTTATTATTTTCTCAAGTCCCGATTGAGTTCTGTAGTGCCAGAGAAAAAGGGATTTCTTCGATGATTACAGGAGTTGATGCAGTTCCTAAAACATGGCTGCAGGCGCTGGTCTCCAGGCTTAGTTCATCCAAAGCACGGAAAAGCGTCTTAGTTTTGATTTCCCTCATTTGTAGAAAATTCCATAGCTGCTAAATGCCTCAAAACTAATGTTTATCTTCTAGAGCAGTGGCTAATTCACCTCAGCTCTTAGTGTAAGAACATGAGCGGACGTAGCACACCTCCTGGCGTGCAGCTGTGTAGCTTTCCAAAGCGCGGGGCCAAACTGTTTCCTATGCTTAGTTGTAGAAAAGAAAATGGCGCCACTGAGGTTAGACTCAGCCTTGGATTTGATTAAATTAGACAATTTTCCCCAGCAATGCTCATCTTTTATCAAAATCTTGCAGATGATTTATTTTGTTACTATAATTCAGAAATTCAGAATTTGCCTGCTTTTTTTTTCTTTTTCACTTGTTCTGGATTATTAACAATACAAGAATGAAAACGGAGTCATTAGTGAGTCATTTACCTGTTTGTGATAAAGAGATATGTTCTATTCAACTAAAACAAACAAAAAAAACCCATATCCAAATGAAATATAGGGGCCGGAGAGATGACTCAGTGGTTAAGAGCACTGCCTGCTCTTCCAAAGGTCCTGAGTTCAGTTCCCAGCAACAACACGGTGGTTCACAACCATCTGTAATGAGATGTGGTGCCATCTTCTGGCCTTCAGGCATACACGCAGACAGAATATTGTATATAAAATGAATAAATAAATCTTTTAAAAAAACAAATGAAATATAACTTCCAGAATAACTATTTTTCTCTTAGGCAAGTTACACAAACCAGTCAAAAATTCACGGTAGTTTTTCGCTTTCCATTTGCTTCACTAGCCTGCATGTTCGTGACATACTCTCCTGTGTGTTCCCAGCACTGCCTGTGTACCCAGTGAATCCCAGCATGAGTGAGTCAGACTTGTCCTGGCAGTCTTCTGGAGAGACAAGAGCACTGGCTACAACAAAGTAGGGTTAGAAGTCATATGAGAGGAAAGAAATGTCAACAATGCTATTGGGCCATCGGTGTGAATTGATGGAAAGACTGACAGTACCAAATGGGGATGGGGTTCATCAAATGCATGGCATCTCGGGACCAGCGAGATGGTTCAGTGGGTACAGACGCTTGCACCCAAGGCTGACAATCTGAGCTAAATCCCTAGGATCCCCTCAGTGGAAGGAAAGAGTGAGCTCCTATAAGTTGTCCTCTGACCTCCACATGTAGCATAGCTTGCACAGGCCTGTGCACATACACACAAAATAAATAGGCAAGTGCATGAAATAAAAATAGTTTTAAAAATAGAATTGTGGTGTTTGGCCTAAGGCTCCAGAGCAGAGCCGCTCTGCCTGCATTATGATTGCTAAGTCAGAATGGAGTAGACACTTTCCTGGAACCTTCCTGTGACTCCCTCTGTAGTCTCTGTCCTATATCTATTCTTTTCTTTTTAATTAATTAATTAATTTTTTAAAGAAATTCTTTCCTCATTTTATATGCCAATCCCAGTTCCCACTCCTTCCCCTCCTTCCACTCCCTCCACCTTCCCCCCATTAGACATTTCAAAGGAACACATATGAATTATATTTTTTAATTTTGCATTTTACACACATACACATATTACCTTTTCTTTATTTTTACTTTTGGTGTATGGGTGCTTGCTTGCCAGTATATCTATGCTGTGCCCATGGAGGCCAGAACAGGGCATCAGATGCTCTGGATGTGGAATTACAGATGGTTGGGTACTGGGAATCAAATCCAGGTCCTCTGGAAGAGTAGCCAAAGTTCTAAACTGCTGCGCATTCTCTCCTGCCCAATATGTTATATTTTAAGGTGTTTAATAAGTACTACACATGGTGGATTTTTTATAACTATTACATTTTTTAAACTATATTCCTGCTTCTTTAACCAGGTCACAGCATTTATTGGGTACAATATTCTCTTTTATCTTTCTGAAGATGTTATTTAATGTAATTGAAGGCATGCTAAAATATTAAAAATATATAGCAAGCACTAACTAGGAAGCACAAATTGCATGAAAAGAAATAAAATCTGACAAGTTGAAGTCACATTGCCTTTTTTGCCTCCCAAAGGAGCTTTCCTCCTGAGTCTGATAGCGCCAGCAGGATCTGGTATGGAGATAAGGAATGACTCCTTCAATAATATAAAGCTTACCCACTCTTTAAATAGATATTTTCCTGAGTGCAGTTTTTAATTGGCACATAATTGTCCATATTGATAGGGTACAGTGTGACATTTCAATACATTCCCATTATCATATTTGTGAAGCTTATCTGCATTTAAAAACTTCTATACCATTCACTTTAAGTGGCTGGTGGTATCTATTATGTGGCTAGACTACCATTAGTCTATTCCTTCTCTATTTAGTAGACCATTACATTGATTTTAGGTATTTGTGACTACTCAGTAATGCTGCTTAGAGTAATCTGTGCATGTATGCAGTGACAGAGGAGAGCTTCTCTGAGATAAGTCCCTTAAAGGAGATTGTCTGGGGCACGTCTTTGTTCCTGTTCTTGCTTGCAGGGTGTCTTGGGTTGACTGTACCTTTCATAATTTTCCTTTGAATGTTTTTTCCATTATTTCTAGTACCTCTTATTTTTTAATTTTTAATTCAGTTGTTTCATTGTTAGATTGGTGTTTATTTCTCTCTCTCTCTCTCTCTCTCTCTCTCTCTTTCTCTCTCTTTTTACTCTGACTTGTATGATGGGGCTTTATTTAAAGGTCTGTTGAAAGGCTAGTCTCTATAGTTGACCATTTTGAAGGGGTGTATGCCCACCAGTGGTGTGAACAAGTTAGCTGTAAGTTCCTCTGTAGGCTGGCCTCCAAGGTGGTGTGATTCTGTTGTGCGAGCTAGGCTGTGTGCTCTGAAGAATCCAGCAACCTCCCTGAGCCTCTGTCCATTGGATTCAACAGCACCCCTCCAGTTGCGGCAATCAAAAGCACTCCAAAATGGGCTCTTACACAACTCCCCGACTTGCGCTTAGGAATGGCCACTCTTACAGGAAGGGGTGACCACTTAACTTTCCCCAAACTGAAGCGCTCAGAGGACTTTTCTCTGCTTTCACTTGCTTTCTTCAGATAAGCTCCTACATCTTCCCCTGGATGGAGGACAGTCGGCTTGGTGAGGACCAGGTGTGGCTTTCTCCTGACCCTTCTATTCTTATGCAGCACTTTTGTGAACTGTTTCTGGCCTCCATGACCCCAAGGCCTCCTGTTACCCTCCCTCAGCTTCCTGTTCACATAGGCTGTCTTTACCAACTGCCTGGAGTGGGAAGTACAGGTTTCTAGATCCCTGTGTCTGACCAACGCTGCGTGACATACACATGTGTGAATTCTTTCATCATACATGCCTGAAACTGGCATTTAGATACATGCTAGGCTGGTAAGGCGACCCAGCAGCTGAAGGCTCTTACTGCCAAGCCTGATAATATGAATTAGATCCCCAGAACCCACACTGGGAAATGAGAGACCAGACTCCACAAATCGTGTGCCATACGCATACCTGCAATCAATAAAGACTGTAAAAAAATCAAGAAATAATTAATGGTCAGTTTCAAATCCATTTCTCAATATGGGTATCTCAAGCTTTGCTCTGTGAAGGGCGCATTCATCTGCCCAAATCTCTTGACGCTGGTCAGCCTCTACCTTCAGGAACACTTTATCG